AAATGTTTCAGTTTTCCAAACATGTATTTCTCTTCTATGAATAATGAACAGTTAAATCTAGATTAGTAGGTCAAAATATTTTTCTTGAAAGTCCAAATACAATGTATATCCTGGGTCTTGTAATGGCCATTAAGTGGGTAGAACAGTTTATTTTTTCATTACGCACTTAGTGGAATACACATTTGTAAAGCTAGGAAAATTTTCAAATTCTCCACCAGATTTTGAATAGATTTATTTTAATTTGGTAAACATGGATTTTCTTATTACAAATCACGAATATCTTCAATTTCTTTAAACAAATATCCAGTAATCTTTTGATCAAGATCTTATGCAAGTGGGGTTTTGTAACCTCCAAAAATAAAGACTGAGATGAAAATGAAACAATGCTTTTGGGGAAAAATAGCTAAAATATCTATTTTTTACCAATAATCTAAAAGATAATACTTATTCTTGGCCTCCAATGAAGAAAAAAAATTGCTAATTCCCTGTACTGCTTCATCCTAGGCATATAATACATCATGAAATTGAACAGACCGCACCTCACTTTTGACCAAGTTTCAGGACTTATAAAAAATTAAGCATCCTTAAGTGACAGGAAACCACTTCAGTGGATCGATGTTCCAGTTTCCAAAGTTGGCCTCATGTAATTGAAGATGGACTTGGGTTTCTGAATTTTTGCTCCAAGTGCATTAGTGTTTTGATTTTGTTTCTAAGTGGCAAATAGGTGTATGATTAGGTCCTTTATGCTATTCTAACCAATTACAAATAGTCTATTCTGTACAGCAAGTAGGAAGCTCAATATAGTGGTCTTTCCTTTTAGGAAAACTTATGGATAGTTTGAGAGAAAAATTTATTGAAAAAAAATAACCTGGCTACTAATGATGAACTCTTTGGCTGTGATAATTTGAGAAATGAAAAAATATAAAATGGTTTACAGTCTTCTGCATTTGCAGCACTGGTGGCAGAATAGCAGAAAAGGGACAGAGAGTATAAAGAATGCCTTCATTTTTAGAGTGTATATAAATCTTAACTGAACTGTTGGCACTGTACTTGTGAGGTTCTTGTTCAGTGACAAACTAATGGCCATTCTATTCACATGGGGTCCAAGAACTTGTCTTAAACAATTGATAATTGTCTTTCAATACAATTATTTTATGCATTTCAAAACATTATTTGGAGGAGTCCATAGACTTTACCCTACTGTCCAAGGAGTCCCTATCCCTAACACAAAAAAGGTTAGAATCTCTATAGTTTTGTGGAGTTGTTCAGTCACATTCACTTCTTCATGACCCCCCGGACCATAGCATGCCAGGCCCTTCTGTCCTCTATTATTTCCCTAAGTCTATCCAAGTTCATGTTCATTCCTTCCATATTCATTATTTCCATGATAATGTCTCTCCATCTCATCCTCTGCCATCCCCTTTTTCTTTTGCCTTTAATCTTTCCTAGCATCAATCTTTTCCAATGAGTCCTATCTTCTCATTATGTGGCCAAAGTATTTAAGAATCTCTATGCTAGAGAAACTGACTTGTTGGTACCATATATGTGAGGTTGCTGCTCGGGGATAACCTTGTGGGAATGCTACTAGATGAACTAGATAATACAGTTTTGACATTTGACTCTGTAAGTGAAACCAGAAGAGAAAAGAAGTTGCAAATAAACAGAAGAATGACTCTCAGGTTCTCCACGGAGAGCCTTTGCCAAAGGCTGGTTTAAAGAAGGAGACACTTGGGGATGATGTAGATGTGTTCTGAGGTATAGGCGAGAAGGAGCTCAGTATAGAAGGCTTCTATTTTCTCAGTAAAAGAGGTCAGGTTCTCTGCTGAGTGGGAGGACAGAAAAGAATAAGCATTTATATAGCACCTACTGTGTGCCACAGACACTGTGCTAAACACTTTTACAGATATTATCTCATTTGTTGCTCACAACAACCCTGTGAGGTAGCTGCTATTATTATCCCCATTTTACAGTTGAGGAAACTGAAGCAGCAGAAATTTAGTGACTTGCCCAGGGTCACACAGTAAGTTTCTAAGGCCAAATTTGAACTCCTGACTTCAGGCTCAATTCTTTAACTACTGTGCCACCAGCAAGGGGACAACGTGTTGGCTATTGGAGAGAATGGGTTGGGATCCTTCTGATGTTTACTAGCTGTTTAAAATCAAGGACACATTCTTGAGAGAGATGCTTTATGGCCTTGGATCCTGCCCTTAATCTTGGTCTGAAAGTCTTACAATGAATGTCCTTAATTACAAGGAGAATTGGATGACTAGATTAACAAAAATCAATATTCCTTACCAGGATTCCTTACAACACATTCAAAGTTGACAGTGTAATTTTTATGATGACAGCATATATGAAACCCATCATGGGCTCATAGATGTAGAGATGAAAGGGACCTTACACCATCTAGTTTAACCCCCTGTTTTTCTCTCAGATGAAAAAAATTGACACCCAGAGAGATTAAGAAGTTTTATCCAAGACCACAGAGGTAGAAGTAAATGCAGGAACTAAAATTCAAGTTCATGGCCTTTGACTAAAATTTAGTCTCCTTTCCTCAGTATTACATGGCTTTAGTAGTCTTTGAAATAGTAACAAAACTTTTCTTTTTACATTTAAACAAAGCCAGCTTGTTCTAGTAATATAATCTATATTTTTAAAATGGCAGTAGAAATTTTTTTCACTTAAAATTGTCATTTAAATATCTTTTAATGGTAAACAAAATCTAATTCTTTTGAACTTCCATATCTCCAACCTGCATTTGTAGAAAAGTGATAGCCAGAATCTGTAATGATTTTAATTTATAGGGCTGTAAAACATTCTTTATTGGCAGTTAGGATACAAGTTCTGAAACATTTAGTATACTAATTAAAATACTTAAAATGACCAGGGACAACAATGAATAAAACATAGGCTAAAAACAACTTAATGCTGACAGTCTTCAAAGATTTATGTTGCCACTCTTCTATAACAAACATTTAAGTGCCTACTGTGGGCAAGCCGTTGCCTTCTCTCCACTCTTATGTCTTATTATATTGCAGTAATTTCATTAGATCATCAATTTAGAACTGGAAGGAATTGTAGGTATTCTCGATCAAGTTCAGTCTTCTCATATTACAGACGAAAACTGAGACAAAGAAGTTAAATGCTGTGCTTAATGTCATACAGGTAGTAGGCGACAGAGTCAGGATTTGAACTGAGGTCCAAATTTACACATTTCACTTGGTGAATAAATGATTGCTTCTTATTTTAAAACTTAACTTCTTAGTTGTTTTAATACTAAAGGAGAAATCATAAGAGATAGAGACCAAAAACCTACCAAGTTATGATTTTCACAGCTGGAAATCTTCCACAGCTAATGTGGAAGACTTAGATGTGCCCATAAGCTTTATTTTTTTCTTCTTCTGATGATGTAAGATGATATGTTTTGATGATATAAATAACCATGGGTCATCTGACAACTTGATGACCATTTACAACAATGACTGGAATGGCCACACTGGCTGGAAATGGAAAGTAGATCAATGGCAAATATAGCTAGAGTGAAAAAAATATAATTCTATCTTCCTGTATCAGTCTAATATACATGTCTTCTTTTTTTACTTATTGGGTAGTTTGTGCTAATTCATATATATATATGTATGTATATATATATACATACATATATATATATATATATATATACATATACACACACACATATATTATGGGCTTAGTAGTCACTACTGTTTAGTATGAATACCTCAGAACACTTAACAACATCCTTTCTACTCCCCTGTTCATCTTTATGACTTTACCCATAGAAGTTACAGAGTGATGGGTGCTATTCATGGACAAGAAAATACTTTTAAGGAAATTAAAGCAACGAGAAGCAGAATAATGTTTTCAATTTTTCTAAGTGCTTTTTTTTGGTTTTGTTTTATTTTTGAGGCAATCAGGGTTAAGTGACTTGCCTGGGGTCACATAACTAGTAAGCCTCTGAGGTTAAGTGAGAATTCAGGTCTTCAAAGCTATCCAACTTTGCCTCCTAGATGACCTTCAAAGTGCTTTTGAAAAACATTGCCAGGTCATATTTCAAAACTGATTGTCTAAATGGTCTTGATTGTTCACAACCTGTGTGTATGTTTTGTCGCCATGATTCCCCTAGCTTAAGGATCTATGTGTTTCCTGCTCTCTACTTTTTGGGACCTAATGCCCCCACTGGAGAGCAAGATGAAGGAAATCTTGTGTAAATTAGTCCATTTGGCTGTTTATTATGGATACTGGGCGCCGGATAATAGTAGAGAAGAAACATGGAACTCTAGGCCAAGAGTTATATTTTTGGATTTTCTTTGCAATTCAGTTAAACATGATCCCTCCAGCACCAAGTCCATCCAGCAAAATGGAAATCTGACTGATGCATAGACATTTTGTATGTCTTTTATATGGAGTAGAAATTTGAAAATGTAATGGCATCTCCATACATAATCATGCCACTAGATAAGTGAAGGAAATAAGAAAGTGTATAAATTTTAATTACATTGATATGGACACTAAAAATATCACTGAAAACTTCATATGGTCATTACAAAAGTCATTCTTCTATTTAAAGCCTAGCAAATCATTAAAACTTCTGAAATTAAGTAAATTTAATTATTTTGAAAGTATTTATAGGGGCAGCTAGGTGGTGCAGTGGATAGAGCACTGGCCCTGAAGTCAGGAGGACCTTAGTCCAAATCCGGCCTCAGACCAGACACTTGACACTTACTAGCTGTGTGACCCTGGGCAAGTCACTTAACCCCAATTGCCTAAAAAAAAAGTTAAAAAAGTTAAAATAAATTATTTATAGAAATTTGCTACCTATAACATGCACACCTGATAATATATTCATTTTATGAATTGGCTTCAAACACTTTTTTTGTGTTTTTTTTTTTGTTTACTTATTTATTTGTTTTATATGATCTGTTAAAACTTGGGACGCAGTGTATTTCTGAGTGATTGTACCATATTGTTCCAAATATAAGGAAACCCAGAATAGAAGGCAACCTCCAACTAGAAACAGCTCAAATATGGAAAAAAGCTGGGGGTCGAGAGCCCGGCGGGTCTGGCTGTGGTGGCAGGGGTGCCGAGGAATAGGAAGATGCCTGCCCACTTTCCCGGTGAGTGAAGAGGGTTTATTGGCTGCAGTTGCTTTTGCTTAATTAGATTGCTACTGCTACTGCTACTGCTGCCATTGCTAGAGGCAGAGTTATGTTGTGGGGGGGGGGTGGAGAGAAATTCCATGCAAATAGAGTGGATGGTATTGGATCCAGCTCATGGGTGGAGGGGGACAGAGGAGACACAGACATTTCCCTTCTTGAGAGATGCTACCCTTTATGGATTTTTTTAGGGTTTGAAGATGAAAGTTGATAATATCAGTTGCTCAAGAAAATCACCATTCTGAAATTTACTCTAAAAGTAGTTAAATGTACATGAATATGGATTTCTATATCTTTGCAGACAGCTCTTAATGATTTCCATATTTTCCCCAGACTATCCCATATTAATAGTTCTATAGAGACAGTAAATTCCTCAGTTGTTACATATATCATGAAGACATGCAGAACTAGAGTTATGAATAGGCAGTTCAATTTTGATCGAGACCTTTGCTTGATTATAGAAGAGTTGCCTTTTCTTCTTTTTGTGGGGCTGTTAGTTTGCACACTAGAACTTAACATTGATATGTACACACACATAGAAACATAAATATATTAGATCTTGTTACAACAAATTTTAAGGTACTATCAAATACTTTCTTTTTAGGAGTGATATTTCACTGTTTTAAAATATGTCATTGATTGAGGCTCCGAAATGTAATAATACAAAGATTTTCTTGTAACAGGATTGGACTTAGACATTTCTTCAAATATCAGTCTGCATCTACCAAGATGTAGATTTGATATCTTTTAATAGCAGATTAGTAGGAGCTAAAATAAAATGCTGTTTGCATGTACAATAACTAGAGAATTACTTATTCTAGCAGGCAGCTAGATATCTCAGTGGATAGAGCTTTGGGTCCTAGAGTCAGGAAGACCTAAGTTTTAATCTGGCCTCAGATGCTCACTAGCTGTGTGACCCTGGGCAAGTCACTTAACCTCTGTTCGCCTTAATCCAACGGAAAAGGAAATGGCAAAGCTTTCTAGTATCTTTGCCAAGAAAACCGTATATGAGGTGACGAAAAGTGACCAACAAAGTCCAGATGTGATAAACAACAACAAAAAAGAAGTTTACAACTTCTTTAATCACTTCATTATTTTGGACACCTCCCAGGAAGTCAGAAAATATGAAAACTGATTCTTGAATTTGGTAATTGTTCATTGGAGAGGCCAGGAATCTTGAGATAAATTTGGAATTTTTAGTCATCCCTGAACTATTTTTTCCCTATAATAAATCCTAAGAAATGACTTCTCTCTTAACTTTATTTTAAAAAGAAAGAAGAAGAAAAACAAGATAAACAGATATAACCAGTCCTGGAACTTTTATTTTTCAAAATGTTCAAGCTTTTAGAGAGTTTTGGATGCGGTCTGTGTAGTCTAATAGAAGGGCTGAACTTAAGAGTCAGAAAATTGGAATTCGTGTAACATTGAATGGGTCACTTAATCTCTCTGGTCTTAGTTTCCTCTTCCCTTACATAAGAGGATTGGACTAGATGGTATCTTGAAGGTACCTTCAGATGAAATATTTGTAAAGAGCTCAGCACAGTGCCAGGCACATAGTAGGTACTATATGAATTCTTATTCTCTTCCCCTTCCCTTCCAGTCTAAAGTCTATTAATTCCTTACTGAATTTTCATATCTCCTTAACCCCCACTCATTTAGAAGACCAAGGATCCATGCCCCTTTAGAGAGCCTACCAAAACTAACATGCTCTATGATTATTATTAATTTTTTAAAAAAATTTGACACCAGGTCTTCTTATCTCACCCAAGCTGGAAGTGTAGTGGCCACTTACGGGCCTGATGATTGGCATGGAAGCTTTGACTTGCTCTCCTTCTGATATGGGCCAATTTATCCCTGCTTCAGCATCCTGGTGCCTCTGTCCAAGGAGCTCTCTACATTGGTGCCAGATTAAGTGTAAACAGCTAAGCAGTTTTAACCATATTCCAAGGATTCAGGAGGCTCAGTATCCCCAGTTGCAATTTCCCAGTAGTAGGAATTATAGGAATGCACCAGCACCTTTTGATCTATAGAGTAGGATCAGATAGAATAAGGAAAAGGTATATAATCCCAAAATTGCTGGGTATAAGAGGCATAGTGCTATATGGGTGCTAGATTGTTGGATGTTGTTTCATTCTCAATAATACATACAGGCTATAGCAGTCTTAGAAAAAAAGGTTAGGAATGAATTCTTTACCATATATGAAGTGAGTCAAGTTCAAGTAAGCTGGACCCTCAGGGTGTCCTGGACTTTGAGAAAGGAAACAGAAAGTGCTGTCAAGGGTACAACTTTCGTTTTGACCTTTTGATACAGATCAAAAGCCAACTTCATTTCATGCCCTCTATGGCCAAGTTCTTGGGCACTTCAGTCAGCAACATACACAACAGACCAGACTCCCTGGGGGGGACATTCAACACAGGGATACACATACATAATCCTGACTGAAATAGATACCCAGGGCCAGCTGACCATCACAGCACTGGGCTAGACTGTGCCCAGGTTACCTCCCTCCTTCTTGCAAGCACTGCATGGTTTCGTACACAGTATGATCAGGGTTTGTTTTCAGACACATGGTGAAAGTTCAGTTTCCCTCTATTCAACATAGCTACAGACCTTAAATAACTCCCAAACGGCAGAAGCTGGTGTACTCTTCAGGGAAATTAACAGTAGCGGCTACATGTTCATGCCTATTGCTCAGCTATACTATCTTCCTTGCTCTGCTAACAAATCCTCTGAACAGTCCATAAGATTTGGGGCAGCTAGGTGGTACAGTGGATAGAGCACCAGCCCTGAAGTCAGGAGGACCTGAGTTCAAATTTGGCCTCAGAGACTTGACACTTACTAGCTGTGTGACTCTAGGCAAGTCACTTAACCCCATTGCCTAGTCCCCTCCACTCCCCCCACCCCCGCTCCAAAACCAAACCAAACCAAAACAAAAAAATACAGTCCATAAGGTTGGGTCACAGGTCTTGTGGGGAAGGAGAGCATCCTTTTGATAAGGGGTTCTTAATAATTTTTTGTGTAATGGAGTCTTTTAATAGTCTGGTGAAGCTTGTGGATCTCTTCTTGGAGTAATGTTCAAAATGTACAAGATAAAATACATAAGATTACAAGGGAAATCGATTATATTGAAATACAGTTATAAAAATAGTAAAAAAAAATTAACAAGTTCATAGATGGCAGATTTAGAATTCCCTGCTTTAGAGGGGGTAGTACCATGGAACCAGGGTTGGAATTCTGCCATGACAATGGGGGTAACATACCTAGATGCCTTTTCAGTTTTAGAATCAATTGTCCTCTTCAGGAAATGAAGGCATCCACAAAGAAAGGCAGAAGAATCTTAGAGTCTTTAAAAAAATGTGTGGTTAAATCTCAACTGTAATTGGAGATTATTACAATTTTTTATGTGTGGGTGGGTGTGGAGGGACCCTGGCTCAAATTTCACATATACTAGATAATATCTAGTACCATGTAACTTTGGTAGGATAGCTTTTTAAAATGATCAGTCCTATGTCTCAGATACTGATTGTCTGTGCTAAAGGGGCATACAAGAAGAACCAGAAATGAAAACATTATTCTTTCATAGCAGTCTCTCTTTTAATGTGAAGAGTTAGAGCAGGGATTCTTAACTTGGGTTTGATGAACTTAAATGGGGAAAAATACATCTTTAATTTTCAGTATGATTGGTTTCCTTTTCAATCATATTTTATGCATTTAAAAACTTTATTTTAAGAAAGGGTCCATAGGTTTTACTGGACTGCAAGGGGGTACATCTCATTCTCTCTCTCTCTCTCTCTCTCTCTCTCTCTCTCTCTCTCTCTCTCTCTCTCTCTCTCTCAGGCACACACACACACACACACACACACACACACACTTTAAGAAGCCATGTTTTCGGGGAACACTAGGGGAGAAAGGCTAATGGGGCTCCAAAATTTGGGGTGGAAGCAGCAAGAAATGGAAATGCCTTTGATTGATTTTAGATGCCAAAGGAAGAGATGGGGGAGTAGGGTGGGTGGGAGTGGGAATCTAGATGTAGAGTATAGACAAAACGTAATGTGTAGATAAAACATGGCATAAAGTATAGAAATTCAAATGTAAATAAATTGAAATTGTCACCATATGTTCCAAGAACATATATAAAGCCCTTACGTAAATTGTCCTGTTGTACAACTGCTCCCTCCCTTCATTCCAGAACATGTCTGTGCATAAAATTCATGCTGGTGCTAGTATCTCTTCAGGCTATGGGCATTTTATTGCACTTACCAAAACAGCCATCTGCTGTGTGGTTTGAGGAGAAGAGTTTTGGATCTGGTATCAGAGAACACATAGTCATGTCACTTAATTTCTTTGGGTCTTGGTTTCTTCATCCCTAAAATAGGGGAGGGGGTTGGACAGCTCACTTGATAGTCTCTGTCCACCTCTAAATCTATGATCTTTTAAGGTAGGGGTTCTTAACCTTTGTGTGTGTGTGTTATGGACTCCTTTTGAGAGTTTGGTGGAGCCTATGGACTCCTCCGAATGATGTTTTAAAATGCATAAAATAAAATGCAGAAGATTACAAAGGAAACTAATTATATTGAAATATGGCTATCACAACTGGACAACAGCAACAAAAGCCAAAGAAGTGCACCAACTCCAGGCTCCAGTTGGTACTTACAAGGGAGCTGGCATCACAGAACCAATTTTAAAGGAAGAGCTAGTTATTAGTCTTATCCTGGGACTTGGAAGAATCATGTGCTCATTGATCGACTAAAATAAAAATGAGCCTGAGTCTTTCCCTGGGGAGTGATGGCCTCTATAAAAGAGAATGGAAAAAATTTCCAGCAGACACTAATTCCAGAGGTGGCAGGCCATTGCTTCTCTTCTCCCTCTCTTTGTCTTGTTACTTCTCTGTAAAATGAGGGGAATGGAATTCAGAGGTGTCAGATTCGTGGCCCATAGGCTGCTAGCCGTGGCAAAACTCCCAGGTGCACCTGAATCTGATCAAAATATAATTGGGAAATGTTTAACAACATAAATAAATATATACCATAGATAATGTTATTTTGAGATTTTCTAAGTCACTGCATGGCTGGCAGGGATCTTTTTCTATTTGAATTTGATACCTCTGGACTAAATGTCTCTTATGAGCTTTCTTAGCTCTAAATACAATGATCCCATGAGCCTTTCTTCCAGTGCTCCCTATTAAAAGTACAGGTTTCTAGAAAAATGATTCCTTGCTATCTGGCAGAGTCAGATTCTGGCCATCATGGGGAAAACAAATAGAGTCCCTACCTTCAGTTATTCAGCCGCAAGATAAAGAGCCCCAAACCCAAACACATGTTAGGGAACTCCTTTGTCTTGGTTTCTTTTCTTTTTAAGGCAAGAAGAGGAGACAGGTTTTTTTCTCAAAGAAAATAGTGTGATGCTTAGTTAAATCTGAGAGGGGGAAAATGTACCATTAAAGTTTTTTTTTTTCCCTCCAAGTAATGCTTTGTAACAGACCCAGTTCTTTCAATACAAAAAATATGGTGTGTAATGCATTTTTCTGAAATGTGTATAATATGGCATTTGACTCGCTGACTTAGCAGTTTTAGCTGAGCTGTGGAGCAACTTATGAATTCCCTGTTTTAGAGTCACTTCAGTTTAAAAAAAAATCCTTGAAATGTTCTTAATGGTCATTCCTTGGGGGAGCAACTGTACTCTTTGATAAATCAGAAATGGCATTTGGAAGTGTACAAAAATGAGTCGTTGGCTTAGTATTCTTTTTGGCCATGCAAGAAACAAGTATATTTTAATGAGAAGAATTAATATAATTTAGAAACAAGCTAGAGCTGTGGGTTTTATTTTAATCTTTCTCAAATAAAAAAAAACTTATCCTTGTTTGCCAGGAAAACTGAATATGACAATGACATCTGCTTAATTAGTTATAAACGACTTTTGTTTAATAACAAAGTTGTTGATTTTTTACTAAGGGTCCTTTTAGGTTGCCATCAGGGGCTGATGGGAATAACACTTCACCCACCTCTCCAGCTAGCTTCAGCGGACATACCACACCTTCTCAGCAACCTGAACCAGTGGTACATACTCTTAAGGTAAACAACAGAACACAACCATGCATCTAGAAATTCAGTTGTGTTTGACTTCTTCCCCACAGTGTGATTTTCTCTCATAGTCTTGCTGTATCCATAGGTGTTTTTCCCTGATATTTTTATTTTTTTCCGTTCAAACATTTTAATTTTTGAAATTATTTTTTCAAAGATGAGTGTTTTTCTGAATAAGAGGTTTTGGCTTTGGAGAATTGATGTGTAATCTCCGTTGTTACATCTCTGTTACAAGTAATACTATCCATATCTACATGCATCAAAGTCAGTCTGATGTGCATATACATACGTATGTGTAAAATATTGTTATTTATATGTGCAATGTATGTAGCATGAATGTCTTCAGATATCAAACTTTAAGGTTTATTAAAATGTGATAAGGCACATTTTCTTTCGTTGATGGTCTTTAATCACTTATTCCCCATTCCTGCCCCATATGATAAAGGATTTTTTTTTAAAAAGTCATAACCAAACAAAGGAAAACAAAACAAAAGCCCTATCCAAGTGGTGATACCACATCCATAAATGGTTTATTTGGAATTTATTTGGAAATAAATGTTTCCAATCTTATTTAGAATTTATTTGGAATTCCTTAAAACAACAAATTACATATAACAATATGCAATAAGATTTCATAAGTTTGAAGTTAAGAATATATGAAAATTTGGATGTTAACCTTTGTTTTATTTGGAGAAGGAGGGGGAATGTTGCAGTTGCTGAGCAAATTAATAGTGTGACTATCGCTTTTGATATAATGTTTATACAAACGTATTGTTTTAAGAGACTGGTAGAATTCAGTTTAGGAAATATTTATTAAATACTTGCTTTGTGCAAGGCACTGTTCCAAGTGCCAGGGATACAGAATCCAAAAATCCCCTGAAAATGGATTCTGCAGCATAGAATAGCATGTATTTATGGTACAGTCAATGAAATTGCAGGCTTAGAAAAGGCCAGTAGTGGATGGCTGATGTTCTGATATAACAATTACAGAATCATTCTTACCTGTTAATCGAGAGACGTGTAGTAGGTAACACTTGTCTTGTTTCTTTTATTATACTTCAACATTTCAAGAATCTCAGATTCCCTTGGCATAGTACTCTCTCCAGATACAGATTGGAAGCCTTCTATAATAGAGAGCTTCAATGGCTCAAAAATTTAGATGATGGCAGCTCTCGTGGTGATGAGCCTCTGTGAATTTAGCTTGTTCACAGACACACTTCTTCTCTGGACCCATACTCAGAGGCTTTCAAGCTTGATAAGGCTTTTTAGACCTTCCTCTCTGCTGGCATAACTCTTAAGAGGCTAGGATTACTTTTATGCTTGGGTGAGGCACCAGGACAGAATTTTATTGGGGGTTCATTTGTGGTATGCACTTGAAAGTAATAAAACATCATCACAATTACATAATTAGTCAGAATTAGTGAATTTGTTTTCTAATGATAGGTGTTATACAAAAACCCTTAAGATTTCTTGATACTTTGCTTGAAATGTTAGCAACCTTAAAGGTACCAACTGAATAGGATTAAAGTATATCCCCCAACTACTTTATGGTTTCTTATTCTGACTTTTCTGTTGACTCACAGTGTGGCCTACAGCAAATCAATCTTTCTCTCTGTTTTACTTTCCTGAGACATGGAAAAGGAAGAATCAGCCTTTCATTTGCTTTAAGGGTTTTGCAAAGAGTAAAAGATTTATTATTTTTTGAACAGGTGAAGATTTTCCTAAAATCTTCCACATCATTATAGTTGTTCTCATCAGAATTAAAGTCTATCATAATGGAATAGAGAAGCATCACCCATGGCATGGATACTGCAGAGCAGTGAATGATTCCCCCCAGAACTTATATTTGGTTTTAGACTACATTGTATAATTTATTTTTGGCAAAGGTTTGCCTTCCTAATTAAGTTTTCCTTGAAATAATATTAAATTCCTAAAGTGCATACCTGCTAATACCAGAATTATGCTGGGTTATATGCAGAGTTTGTTCTTCGTACCATAGATAATTCCCAAAATGGATAGAACTACATATGGGTAATTAAGAGGATTCTGATTTTCTTTGAGATGGCTCAAGAGATCTTTCTGAAGGCAGAGATAGAATTACAATATACTGTGGGGAAGTAGAGCCTTGGCATCAAAGACATTGTCCTAGGTAGTAAGATTCTAGATTACAGAGAAGGTTGCTGATCAACTTTATTGGAGGGAGTTTCTACAACATGACTTCTCCCTGATGCTACACAGATCCAGAATCATTCCTTCCCTACCTCCCCAACCCACACCAAAAACTCACCTGTCTTTATGATTGGTATATATTTGTTCACTAACTGTCTGACAGACACCATGCTAAGTGCATTACCATTTGGATGCAAATGTGAAGGTTGTATTTTGCTAATAGTTTATTAAATAAAAGCTATCTGAAATACATTTTGGAAATACAAAATATCCATAGAGTTTAAACTTTGAAGGGTTGTGTTCACATATCTTTAAAAAAAGCAATGGGTTTTTCCTTCTTCCTTTCAAGGTATTTCAGAGTCATTTAGGACTGTTGTATTTTCAAATGTCCAAGATCACAATGTTTTATACTGTAAATTTTAACGAGTTTCCTAATTCTACTATGATTGGAAACTGTTGGTATATACTAATTTAGGGGTAAGGAAAGAAAAAAAAAGGGCCTCTTTAATTTTCCTTATAATTTGTACACTAATCACCATATAAAATTTTACCCCGAGAGAGTAATTTAAGGAAACATTGAGTATATTATATAATTATATGTTATAATTAGCTAGAGTACTTATGTCTAAGTTATTGGTTGGTACCTACACTGAACAATGAATTGTTTTTATTGAATAACTGAAGGGTCATGAATATGGAGTTTATTTTCTTCTTTTGCAAGAAGTGTGTTGGGAAACAGAAATGTGTGTCAGCATATTCTAAAGAAAATATTTTTTATTAAGTATTTCAATAATTAGGAATATACCTTCATTGAGATACGTAAATATGAAAAAAAGTTGCCATTTGGCAATTTTTGCTTTTAGAAGTCATCGCACTAGAGTTGATCTGTCAAGAGTTTTTCTTTTTCCTTCTCAGCAAAAATAATTAGAATTAGGGCTCTAGTTCCTCATCTTCCTCCATATCCCTAAGGGTATTTTTTCTGATTGACTTCAAAGGTATCTCTGTGCCTGAATGAGCATGATGGTGAGGGTGTGGAGCTGAATGAGAAATTAGCCCCCTCATAATGATGCTATAGTCATTTCTTGCTTATTAAATGCATGATAGCTATTAATCAGAGCTTCAGTTCATTTAGTAGAAATTAACTGATTTGAAGTACACTTCTCTGGGGTGTATTACAAATCAAATAGGTAGGAGAAGAGTCTCATACACTGTGCCCTTCAAGCTTTCTATGAATATTCACTGAGCAAGATAATAATTTTATATAAAGGTAAAAAAAATATGAACAACTCTTATCCAATATGAAGACCGGTGTCAGATTTTCATTTATTTCTTTGATTTTTTTCTGCATTAAAGAATCAGATACATATAGAGAAAGTGGTTTATGTTTCTGAATTCCCATGATATAGTGGTATGATTGGATTGATCATTATGGGGCTAAAGTTGTATAAATATCAATGCAATGTCAGACTTTGCACAAATGGACTACTTCATGCCTGGTTCATTTATTTCAGCTTTCCTGTTAGTCATTGTAGATTACATGGTTGTAGATTTGGCTATGGGAATCAGTATCAGTTTTGGAGATAGTAGACCTGAATGCACTGGCAATACTATTGTCCAGCACTGGAATCATATAGTTTTAGGAAAATATTTTCTCTGTGTTTTATAAACTCCATGAAGCATGAGCTGATGTTCTAGGAGAAAAATCACACCCACCCACCCAAACTCAACATTAATGGAGACTAACATGTATCTTATTAGAGCTCATAAGTATACCTTCCTGGGTTGTGACAATGCCAAGGTCCCTAGTGGTCATAGACTCCCATCTACTTTAGCCAATCCTTACATTGCCTGTGTCCATGTAACATACAAATCAAACAGTCATGGGATAAGATTAGTTATGTTGATCATTATGACAATGAGACATACAACAATATATACTTGCAAATGGTTAATGCTATCAGGTTGTCTTTTTGATCAAGGTAATGATCCAGTTTAGTTATTTTGAACATTAATGGAACAGAGTTTCTATGTGTCATCCAAAAAAATTGCAGAGATGAACTTATGAGTAATTGAGTTAGAAAAATTGCACAGATATGTACTCAGAGTATGTGAGTTTCAGAGCCTTTGATTTAGGCTATTTTACTATGAATACTACATATATATATATGTATATGTATATGTATATATATGTATATGTATATATATATGTATATGTATATATATATGTATATGTATATATATATGTATATGTATGTGTGTGTATATGTGTATGTATATATATATATATATATATATATATATATATATATATATATATATGTATATATATGACCAGTGGATTTCCTCAATGTTTTTACTTATATGTAACAAACTAATTCTTTTTTCAGATGAAATTTATTTTTCTTTCTCAACAAATCCAGGTCTTGGATGTTCAGGAAAATATAGATCGTCAACAGGGTAAAGAGTATGACCATGACCTTAGTGAGACAAAAAAAGCTATAGTCAGAGAAATGTGCAATGTAAGTTTTATATGCTTAATTATGTATTCTGTATTGAAGCCTCATCATAACTAAGCTATTGCTCCACGAATACCTATTTTTTAAAAAATGCTGACAGAATGCCTTTTCAAATTTTATATGAAAGTAAAACCAGTTACCCTCTGTTTCATCTGCCATTTGAATCTGGAGCATTTGTGAAAATAGTAATCCTATCATAAAACATTTAGGTCAGAAATGATTTGCAAGGTCTGTATGCTAGAGCCATTTATGAAATTTTCTCAGTATCTCTTCAATTGATTATCAAAAGTGGTAATATGCCATGGGGTAATAATCATTTTATTTCTCTTGAGCAAAATTTTTAATAGTGTTTGTTTTGTGATTTTTGGCAGTTCCTTGTTTAGTGATGAACATATGATTTTTTTTAAGCTGATATTTTTCTGATGCACTCCTGTTTAATGTTGTACTATGAAAATTATCATTATCTTTATAAATATTATTTTCTAAGTCCCTCATATGAAAGATACTGTGCTTCTATTCAAAGTCTTTGTATTTACTCTGCAGGAGTTGACACACTAACTCATCACTACTATGACTCTATGTGTAGATGTAAAGGTAATTAAATATATGTAAGTAATTATGTAAACTAAACAAAAAAGGAAAACACAGTAAGGATCTGTCTTACTTTCAAGATGCATTTTATATGTATTCATTGATGTAGTAGGGATTTTTTTTTTTATCTCAAGCCATAGCTTAATGCTCAGTCATTTTAGGTAAGAAACATACCATAATTCTAAGCAGGAATAAGTAGATAAAGGAATTTATGAAAGTGGTACAGGGAATTTGATAGAAGATTATTTATGTTAGAAGAAAATGTGGTAGTTTTTAAATGAAGTATTGGTTTAAACTTTCTGGAGAATGTTTTTCCCTTCACATCTTTTCATTCCTTTTGACTTTAAAACTGCTAGGAGTATCATGCAAACACTAAATTTATTGTGGTCAGATTTTGCCAGCCCACCTGTAATCCATGTGTCCTTGGTCCTTGTTATATGGTAAATAAAAAGAATGTGTGGCAATTCCACTGAATTTAATGGGAGTTTTATATTTTCTGGGGTAGAGAATAGGAAATTACTCTCTAATTCTCCTGTGAACTGTGGTCTTTGGCTGGCTATTGTGTTTGCTCTTTTTTTTTCCAGTGCTTTCCAAGCCATTTACTTGCATTTCCTATCTTTGTTTTGTTATTGTGTTAAAGAAATATGGTCATATCTTCCCTTGCTTTGCCTTCCCTTCCATTCCCTTCCCTTCCCTTCCCTTCCCCGAGACTTTATCTGCTTATCTCTCCAAGGCTGGAGGTGCAGCAGCTACTCGTTGGCCCCAGTCCCACTACTGATCAGCACACAGACTTTGATTTGCTCCATTTGTGATCTGGGCAGGCTCACCCTTCTTTATGTATCCTGATGATTTTCCATTCTTGGGGGCTCATCATATTGGTGCCACACTTAGAGTGGATAGCTGGTCTGCTTTAGTGCTACTGTAGCTCAGAATTCCTGACCTCAAGGAATCCACTAGATGCAACCTCTTGGCAGCAGACATTACGGACATGTACCAGCAATCTTAGCCATATATTTTATATATTTTCCTAGATACTCTACAGTTGCCTTTTCTAAATCTTTTTAAGCGACCCTTCTCTTTTTTTTCAATTTAACAAGCATTCTTACCTAGTAATGATGATGCTTGACTTTGGTAAATTAGTCAGAAATTAATAACAATAATAATAGACTATTAAAGCTGAAAGGGGCTTGAGAGATTTAGCCTAATTTTCTCATTTAATAAGTGAAGAATTTGACACCCACAGAGGTGTAGTGACTTGCTTAAGGTTCATGCAAGCTAGTGGCAGAGCCAGGACTAAGACCGTGGTCTCTTTCCTTGTGCTGTGCTCTTTTCATCATCCCAGTGCTGTAAGTCTTGGGATTTTAGTTTCTCTTCCTAGAGAATGCAAAATAGTATCTTTCATAGAGGGCAACTCTCTACTATAGCTGCTGCTACCATTTCTATCTAGAAAGATGCATCATGATGAAAAACTTATTAACCTTAAATTTAAGGGTTTGCGATATTCACCATATTTCCTGATATAGTCAGTTAAATTCTGAGCTAGGTTAAATCAAGAGTTTGTTGTCTTACCTTTTGATAACTTTTAAATGTTTTAAAAACCAGTTTATTAGTTTCCACCTTAACATGAAAGACATATGCAAAGTGACAGTTTCTTCTTCCTATTTATGATATATTCTTTTCTATACTAATCCACTGTTGTCACTTATTTTTTTTTCCTTTCAGCTTTTTTCTTTGTTTTTATGTCCCGATTTTGATGAGGGAGGCCCAGAATTCACCCTGACAGCTTTTGAAACTAGATCACATTTATAGGTCAGATTGACAAAGAAGAATTGATTAAAACCAAAGTAAAATAGGCACCACTGGATTTAATTGTATGAATGCTTAGCAAACTTAAAGAGGCCCAGGGAACAGATTGAGGACTCAACATTCAATACAGTGACATTGTTCTTTGGTTTCATAATGACCTTCAGATTTATATTTTATCTGGTTTACGTCAGGGGTGGGGAACCTGCGGCCTTGAGGCCACATGTGGCTTTCTAGATCCTGGGAGGTGGCCTTTTGACTGAGTCCAAGTTTTACAGAACAAATCTTTTTATTGAGGGGATTTGTTTTGTGAAGATTGGACTCAGTCAAAGAGCTGTACTTAAGGACCTAGAGGGCCACATGTGGCCTTGAGGCCACAGGGTCTCCACTCCTGGTCTAGGTGATAGCATCAGTTTTAGTGGTCCAAATCACCTAGTCTTTGTACATCTTCATCTTCCTGTCTGTAAAATGGCAAAAATAATATTCATAATCTTTATTCATTGACTAATCACTATATGATAATATTAAACCTTTCCTGAAGAACACTACATGAATAAAGGTATCACTATTTAAGAAATAGAAAACCAATTTTTAGTGGTAACCTTAGAGCTTCAGAAATGTTAGGTAGGCCTTATCAGGTTGCTAACTCCATGTTAGTAGGATATGTCCAGTGGATACCCTCAGTGACAATCTCAAAGAATTGAATATCTACAGTTGCATTGTTCTGTGAACCCCAAACCTGTAGACTATAGCCTCTGCTCATCTTGGATTCCTCCTTCTAATCATCTTAGCTTATTATTTTTTGGCCCTTGGTTCTAATGTAAAAGACATATTTTACTCAGTCCTAGCATCTGGGAGTCTCCTTAAACCACACAGTGCTGACCAAATTAGGGCCATCAGTTTGTAACTTTAGAATAGGTAATATCTCCAGCATGTGTAGGGAAGAACTTAGGGATGGACATTGCATTTTAGGTTGGAAGACCTCATATAACTACCCTCATGACTCTCAGCAGGATCACATAGAATCTATTCTAAAAGATGAGAATCTTTCCTTTGATAAAAAATGAAGAGAAAGAGACTGTGGTCTCTTAGAGTCATTTGTTATGGTGACTATCTTTGTTTTCAAATTGGGTATCAAGGAAAATATCTAATCCACTAAGGTAGCAGACTGAATTGATCACTCCTCTATTTAATTTCTCTTTAAATGTTTGAAAACAAAATTATAATACTCTTCTGCCAAATGCTTTAGTATGTCTAAAGAACCATCATATTTACTGAAAAATGGAAGTTAATATTTGCCTTGGTTCTGTCAGCATTATTGAATTACTTAGACCCATCTGAAAGCAAATTAATTAATAACTTGTTTTCTGTTTCTTTCTAGAATAATTCAATTAAGAATTAAGCCATTAGAATATTATCCTCATACTGAAACTCTCTTGGAGACAAAAAAAGTTCTTGATGTTACATACATACTTACATACATACACATACACACACACAAACACACATATAATATATATACTCTCAATGATGGAAAATTATTAATATTGAGGGCTGAATTAGTATTACCTGTCTATATTTCAGCTTTTCAAAATTCCAGCTTTTGCAGTTGTCTCATTGTCTCATTAAAAGCCTTCTCTGTCTCTCTATTTCTCTTTCTCTCTCTCTCTGTCTCTCTGTGTCTGTCTTTCATCCACCATTGTATTTTCTTTTCAAGGCTATCATGAGTTTACTCCTACCTTTGCCTTTTGAGTTCTTTTGGTTTTGCCAATCTGAGTGATCTTTGTTTTAACTACTAAGATTTACAAAAACAGGAGACATTAACTCTGGGTTGGAGTGGGGAAGAGGCAGTGTGATGGAAGGAGGGAGTGAAGCCAACCTCATTAACAAAATATTCAAGCCAACATAATGTTATGAAGTGAGAATTTAGCTGAGTCTTGAACCAAAACACCCATCCCTTTTTTTAAAAAACAAATTGACTGCTTTGATTTCCTTTATTAGAAATAACATATTTCATTGATACAGTAATGTTATGGTAGTTTTGAAAGAAGTTGTCACATCAGCCTTTAATTTTGACTCATTTGTTAGTAAAGCATATGGTCTCATCTGCAAAAATATCTTGGTTCAGTCATTTAAATGCTTCTCAGGACATTTCATTTTGTATCCACTCAAAAGCATTATTTTTTTTTTCAAAGCACATTTTATCCTCAGTCCTTCAACATGAATGTCTAGCGTTTACCTTGAATCATTACAACAGAGTACTGGACTCTCGTGAATGATTACCACTAACATCATTGTTCTTTTACTTCTTTTAGGTTGTGTGGCGGAAACTTGGAGATGCTGCAGGTTCTTGTCCTGGAATTAGGCAACATCTGTCCGGGAATCAGTATAAAGGACCAATGTGAGAATAACTCCCGAATACAAGATTAGCACTGGTGGTGGGAAAGAAAAGAAGGCATGATTTCCACACACCTGGACTCATGGGGGTTAATGATAGGGTGGTGGTGGACCACATCTATGTCTTCTTTGAACACTTCAGTACAGGTCCCATATGCTACTGGCAATTTTGTGTTTCTTGCTTCACTATATTCAAGTGCAGTCTCTGAATCATGACATCACTAATTTGTTATCCTACACATTCTTCAAGATCTTAGGACAATTGGAGTTTTTCATGAATGGAAGATGTTCTGGTAGCACTCTAGTGATTTTGACTGGTGTGACGTAATAGTCGCTTCCTACCATGTTCTGTAGGAGCTAAGAAATGTTGCCTTCCAACTCCCAAAGTTTGGAAACTAGGCCCCATGTCACTTGTACTTGAGTATATAAAATGCTAGTTACTGGTATTTAATTTGAAAGAAATGGCTGGATTTTCACTCCCTGAAGCATTCGATATTTGTATCGAGGTGCTAAAATTATCTCATGAATTCACTTTTCCAACTAGTAGCATAGCAAAATCCCTGACAGAACTTGTCTCAAAACCTGGTTTCTGGCCAACTGGGCAGGTAAGCGCCTTTCCCCCTCCATTTTGATAATACAACTTGGAGGTGACCAGTCTCCTGGCCCACTCCCCCATCAGCATTAATACTAAAAATTTGCAACTTCAACAATCATGAGCTTACTTTAAGGGTTTCCTGCTGTGAGAACATGTTGATTTGTTTTTTGACAATTTTGTTTCTAGACAAGCAGTTATATTTAACAAACTCTAAGTAGACTTTAAAAGATTGCACTGCATTTTTGAAAAAAGCTTTCCTTGCCTACTGCAGCTTTCTTTAAAAGAATGGTTTGATGATACTCAACGCATGTCTTTGACTATTTTGAAGCTTAAAACTCTTGTGCAGATTGCTTGAAGGTTGACCAAGAGACATGCTAGCTATGCTTAGTTTATTTCATTTATTATTTTTTTGGGGGGAGGGGGGAAATATGTATAACATTAGACTGTGTGTAATGGAAATGCTATGATAGGTATTTTGTGTTTATCCAAATGCAACGAGTTTCTTGTATGAATATGCAAGAGGCCTGTGACAGAATGCTATTGCTTACGCTTTTAGTGTAGCTTAGGATAACAGAGATAGGAATGCAACAATTGCTGGTTTTCAGGTTTGTTCTCAATTACTAAGGGTTTGCTTCACAGCAAATATTTTCTCTTTTTTGTGGGCTTGTTACATGTTGTATTAATTAACCATTTGGTAGTACAATGTAAGAAATTGATGTACACTTAAAAAAATTATGGTACTGTGATATAGAACCAGCCTGCTGTTGTCTGAAAATCCTTGTGAATTAATTTGCCACAGACTTTTATCTCCAGTTATCTTTATTTGGTTAGATTTTAAACCAATATTCCTTTTGAGATGTTATGTTTTAAAATTGTTATTCTCTGTTAAAAAAAGAAACCTGCTTGCTATATTTACATTTTCACAAAGTTTTCATCTATACACTTAAATTGTTGTATTCCTATACAATAGAAAACATTTAAAACAAGTTTTTGTGCCTGCAGTAGACCCTGCAGTAGCTATTCAAGGGACACTAGTCTTTTGACAAAACACTTGTGTAAATTTTATACTGTATTAAAACTATTTTTTTAAAGTTCTGCTTAAAATTGAGTATCAAGTATATGTGTTCATCTTAGCAATGGTAATAAATTATTTAATCTCATAGTGTTTTTTTTTTCAAAATGTTTTTCCATAACTGGTACATATCTGTTAAAAGCCATTAAAATTATGCATCTTTGCATGCCACATAGATGGATCCTCCATAAATGTTTGATGATGAAGGCAGCTATGATACTACAGAAGAATAGTCCTTTTTATATAATCCCTTCAGGAGTTTACTATTTGCTTGTTCCTGAATTCACAGAATTACCCACTGTAATACTGAATATTATTCAATTCATTTCACTAACCACTTATTTTCTGCTATGGGCAAGACTCTGTGCTAGGCACTAGAGATAAAAAGATGAAACCAAAATGGTCCCTACTCTCAAAGAATATATATTAGATGTTCGAAAACATTTTTTGAAACACTCTATTTCTATCTTAGAATTTGCACTCATCTTTGGAGCCTTCTAATAGCAAATGCAATAATACTAACTCCCATTTATATAGAGACACTTTGTTTACAAATCACTTTAAAATGTTATTTCATTTGAGCTAACCTCTACAGTTCATTCTTCTGTCGAACCACTATGGTGGCCATTCAATAGAATATCTACACATATAAGTAAATCCGCACCCCACGAAGATAAAGAAATGTGAAAGAAACAGACAACGTGATCCTCCTTCAATATTACAAATTAATGAGAAATATAGGACATATGGATCCAAAAATCATAAAAATGAGTACAATATTTAGAATTATCTACTGTTTCCTCAATGTGGGTATTCCTTCCATCTATGAAGATAATGATGAACATGTACCATTTTATACTGCTGTCTTCCACGTAACTATTATTCAAGCTTTGTTCCATAGATTTATCCAGTCTGCTGTAGATCTTCATTTTTTTTTCTTTAAGACACCAAGATATGATTCAGTTGTGCATCTGTTGACCCACATTTTCACCGTAAAGATGGCTTATCTTACATTCTTCAGTTCGAAATGGCCAAGTTCTACTTCTACAGTAATGGTGGTGGAGTATCAGAAAAGGCGCCAAAGCATCACATAATTTTTAGACTATCATTTTAATTTAACTCTCAGTACTATCAATATAATAGCATCTCTTTCCAGTAATTAATAAATCAATATATTGCCAGAGGAAAGAAACACTAGCCATATTGACATACTTAATATAAAAGAAAACAGAAAACTCATAGAAGTCATGTCCAAAAGGATAATTTGGAGACTTTCCTTAGAAAACCAAGTGGAGAAGTGGACAGATTTGTTTCTTATTAATTCTGGCTACCTAATTGAGCCATGATTTCATGGGGCACTTGGTCATCTTATCCTTCAGTTCTGACAGCTGAAGCAAACAAAGACTGAAGATAATTTTGGCACACCTGCCAAAAGCTCTTGTGATACACAAAGTAGAAAAGAGATATGAAGAATCCTACGAAGAAATAGAAAACATTCACATAAGCACACAGTTGTATTACATTGGATAATTCTGTCTCCATTTGCTAAAGAAATCTTTCGAATCATAGAATCTCAGAGTTGGAAGAGATTCCCAGAAGTCATCTAGTTCAGCTTTTACCTGGACATTGAGCTCCTCCAAATCCCCCTCCACCCTGCCCCCAAAAGAACATCATCTCTTCCCTGGTCCATTGCAATAATCTGCTACTTAGTGTTCCTTTCTTAAAACACTCCCATCTCCAGACTATACTATACACAGCTGCCTGTCCTAAAGCACAGATGTAAGCACAGCACTCCCTTGTTCAATAAGTGGCTCCCTGTTGTTTCTAGTATCCAGTACAAACGATTTGATATGTAAATCCTCTTCCAATCTGGCTGCTCCCCTTGATACATAGTTTGATATAGGCACACTGGCCTTCAAATTAAGTCAGTAAGCATTTATTAAGCACATACTATAAGCCGTGAACTGTGCTAAATGCTGAGAAGACAAATATGAACAGAAAGGGAGACAATCCTTGCCCTCAAGGAACTTAGATTCTAAAAGGGGGAAATAAGACATAAAAAAGAAATTGGGGTAAGGGGAAGATACAGGGGCTTCTTGGTGTTACTAACGAAGCACTCTTTTACCTGTTTCCGTCCCTTTGCATTGGCTGTCTCATGACCCTGGAGTGCACTTTCTCTTCATTTCTACATCTTAGAACCCTTAGTTTACTTTAGTACTAAATTCAAGAGTCATCTTCTTCATGAAGTCTTTACTGATCTTTCTAGCCGGTAGTGCTTTTCTATACTCCCCCAAATTATTTTGTATTTATTTGTGTGGTATATACACAGTGCCTCTCCTGATCAAATGAAATTTCTGAGGGCAGGGGCTGTGTCATTTTGGTCTTTATATACTCTCTTGGCACGGTGCCTATCACATAGAAGAAAACAATAAATGCATGTTGATTAATTGATTGATTATCTAGTCTCTATGTAAAGATCTCTATTATCTGAAATAACTCATTCCATTTTTCACATAGCTCTTATCAGGAAGCTTTTTAATTTAAATCAAAATGAAGCCAGCTTTTCTTCAATTTCCACCAATTACTCCTTCTACAATTTCTATCCAATACCCCTTGCAAATGCCAGTCTTTCATGCATTTGAAGATAGATGTCATGCCGTTTTGTGAGCCTTATCTTTTCTAAGTTCTAAAATGTATAGATATTTCAATAGAGTCTAATATGGGAGTCCCCAGTGCTCTCACCATCCCCATCATCATGCTCTAGAAGCCCTCATTTGTTTGTGTCCTTCCTACAAAGTGGCGTCCAATACTGAACATGATCAACCAGATGTACACTGACCAGGGCAAAATATAGGAATGTTCTTAACTCCTGCCTTCTGGATAGTCCACTATTTCTAGAAGCTATGATTTCATGGATCTGAATATGTCCTCAATCAAAGCAGGTTGGAAACATTCTAAGATTTTTTGTAGCTAGTCTTTGAGGAAAGATATGCCTGAAAAATATTCATCAATCTGTAGGAACCAGGTGACTTGCACTTCACCTGTAGAGGCAGTCATTCAATCAGTCAATAAACATTAAGTGCCTACTGTATACTGTAGGGTAGAGCACCAGGCCTGGAGTCAGGAAGATCTGAGTTCAAATCTGGCCTCAGACACTAATTAGCTGTGTGATCCTGAACATGTCACTTAACTCCTATTTGCCTCAATTTCTCATCTGTAAAATGAGGACACACTAGAGAGGGAAATGGCAAACTGCTCCAGTATTTTTGCCCAGAAAACCCCATGGACAATGTTCATGGGATCATGAAGAGCCAGACACAACTGAACAACCACAACAGCACGTACTCTGCACTATGTTAAGTGCTATGCATAGCCTTCAAACTCCAGGGAACCTCGGCCCCACACTGAGGCATTAGATCAGGCCTTCAGTGAAAGATGGAATTTTTCAATTAATGCAAGTTAAGATGGTGTTCCATGATTCAGAAAGTATGCTATTCTATGATTTGCAGCTGTATAAAGTCATTAAAGGAATGTAGGAGTTTAAAATATGAGCATAAGGGAACAGCTTAGGATAATTGAAAGCACTAAAGAATTTCCAAAATGTAATACAGACTATTCTCTTCCTTGCATTCAATTCTGAGTCAAGCCATCAACTATTTGCCAGTCATCAATCCTCCATCCTTTAATTGTGCAGTTGATTACCTTCCCTGGGCCTAGTTGGGCCTACCTTGACACAACATCACACTGGTCTCCTGATGCACTCCAATCTAACGAGCATTTGTTAAGCATTGTGCTGGATGCTGGGGATAAAGTCAAAAATGAAAATCAGCCCCTCCCTTTTTTTTTTTTACATTAGGTCTTACAATCCATTGGGGAAGTAAGGTGAGTTCACCATATAAAATTTCAAGCCCATTTTAAGAGATGAGAAAGATTATTACCAATGGAAGGGATGCATTAATGCACTCAATGGAACTGCGAATTGCTCCAGCTATTCTGGAAAATAATTTGGAACTATGCCTCCAAAGTCACTTAACTGGGTATCTCCTTTGACCCAGACCAAAAAGATCAAAGAGGAAAAGGACCGATATCTACAAAAATATTGACAGTCTCACTCTAGGCTAAAACATGTAGACAGATAAGTTGATACAAGATAATTTGAGGACAGGTAGTACAGTGCATAGCTCACGAGACCTAGAGTTAGGAAGACCTATGTTCAAATACAGCCTGAGACACATAATAGCTGTAGCAAGTCCTGAGCAAGTCATCTAACCCTGTTTGCCTCAGTTTCCTCATCTGTAAAAATGAGCTAGAGAAGGAAATGGCAAACCACTCTAGTATCTTTGTCAAGATCCCAAATGGGGTCATGAAGAGTTGGACATGACTGAAAAATAGGTGAAGAAAAACAGGCGTGATAGGTTTAAACTGTCTCTACGAAAAATGTCACATTTTACATCAGTTATTCTTGACACCATCCTCCTGGTTCCCTCCTTTGTAACCTCAAAGTTATCTCTGACTCCTCTTTCCTTCATTTCCTTATCCAATCAGTTGATGAATCTCATCAATTCTCCTTCCACAATGTCTGTTGTATCTGTCCCCCATTCACGTAACCATTATCGTAATTCAGGACTTTTCACTTCTCACCAGGACTATTAAAATAGCATTCTACCTGTCTTCCTGCTTCCACTCTCTCCTATATTTAACTCATCCTCCACCCAGCTTTTTGTGTTGTAGCAAAGAACTAGAGGGAGGGGCACCCAATAATTGGGGAATGGTTGAATGACGGATGATATGTGAATATAACGGAAGGTCTTAAGAAATGATGAAAGGACCATTTCAGAGAAACCTGGGAAATTTTTTTTTTACCAACTCTGTTACAACTCTGATCAATACAAGGACCATTCATAATTCCAGAGGACCAATGAAAAAGCACTTTATGCTCTTCTAGATAAAGAGGTGATGGACTCAACATACAAAATAAAATCTGTATTTTTAGACATCATCAATGCTACGATTCATTTTTTTTCTTGACTTCATACTTATTAAAAGTTTGGCTTTTCTTTTTCCAAAAGGAGGTTAGAGGGAGAGAAA